GCACCCAGGGGCTGCCGGCACCGCCCGGGCAGGAGCAGCATCTCCCTGGGCCGCTGCCAGACCTGCCACCCTGTCCCCCTGTGGCACCCCTGGCTCTGTGCTCTCCCCTCCCGTGCGCCGTGGGGTGTTTGGTGCTGGTGACAGGCACTGGAGGGCAGCCAGGACAGCCCTGTGCCCAGCTGAGCCAGTAGTGTGGCTGGAGATTCCTTGGGTGCCGTGAGCCTGGCCTGGCTCCTGCGGCACACTCGGTGATTCGGCACAGCTCCCGTGGGGTGAGGGCACACTGCGGTGTCCCCACAGCAGCTGGCACGTGCCAAGGCTTCGGTCACACAGGGCAGGGGCATGGGGGGTGCACACCATCGCCGAGCACAAGGAGAGGGCACAGTGGAGGGGCTGGAGTCACCAGAGTGGCACGTGGTCCTGTGGGTACGTGGTGACTGGGGTGTCTGCAGGACACAGGGGCACCATCGTCGTCCTGCCACAGCGCCGTCCCACGGATGCCCAGCTGCCGTGGGGACCCCTCCCCAACACAGCTGAGCTCCGGGCACTCCTGGAACCACACACATGCCCCGGCCTTGCTGCAGCCGCACGGCTGTTCCCTCGCAGCGGAGGCCGTGGGGCTGGGATGCGTCTGGGGGCTCAGGGTGCACTGATGGCCCCTCTCCCTCCCCAGACCGGAGCTTGCAGCTGAGCCCGTGGGAGAGCAGCATCGTGGACCGGCTGATGACGCCCACCCTGTCCTTCCTGGCGCGCAGCCGGAGCGCCGTGACGCTGGCTGGGAACGGCAAGGAGCAGGGTGAGCACCGGAGGGGACAGGACATGCAGGTCCTGGCACAGACAGGGGAGTGGGACGAGGGAGTCTGGGGCCAGCGGGGAGCTGGTGTTGGTGCCGGCTCTGTCCTGACTGTGGTCACTCCTTCCCCAGTGCCCGTGTGCCCTTCCGGCTCGGCCTCCGCCAGCCCCCTCAGCCCCTGCCAAACCACCGGCTGGCCGCAACGCGGTGGGCTGGGCGCGGGCGGAAGGCGGCAACCCCGCCAGCCCCGATGTGACGCCGGCGCCGCACGGAGCCGAGCCCTCGCCCGTGAGTGCCACCTCTGCGGGGACCCCGGGGGTCACGGGGGCTCAGCTCCCGGCTGAGCCGAGCACCTGGGGCTGACATGGTCTCTGTCTCTGTCTGTCCCTCTCTGGAGCAGAAGAAGAAGGAGAAGAAGGAGAAGGACCGGGAGAACGCCAAGGAGCGCAGCGCCCTGTCCCGCGAGCGCAGCCTCAAGAAGCGGCAGTCGCTGCCGGCGGCACAGCCCCGGCTCCTGCCTGCGGCCGACAGCAGGTAGGGACCCCCCCACCGAGGCTGCCTGGCCCCCTGACCCCCCCGGGGCCTGTCCCAGCCCCAGTAACACCATCTCCTGCTCTGTTTGCAGCCCGGGCCCCAAGAACCGTCCCTCGTCACCTGCCACCCCCAAGAACCGTCCCTCATCCCCTGCAACCCCCAAGAACCGTCCCTCGTCCCCTGCCACCCCCAAAGCCCGCCCAGCGGTCCCCCAGCCCGGCCCCTCAGGCTCTCCCCATCAAGCCTCCCCTGCCCCGCAGCGCCCACCCTCCCCAAGTGCGGGCCAAGGGCGGCGGGAGGGAGCGGGGGAGCAAGAGGGGCCGGCGAAAGGCACGGAGAGGAAGGAAGGAGGAGCGGGGGCCCGGCGCCCCCAGCCCTTCCGAGCCCCCCAAGGTGCCCGCAGAGCCGACGGGGTCAGGTGGGTACGGGGGGGCCCCGTGGGGCAGCGGGGACGGGGAGCCCAGAGGGCAGCCCTACTCTGCCCGCACCCTTGGCAGCCCCGCCCCAGCCCCATGCCAGCCCCCCGCCCCGGTGCCGGCAAGCCCCCCCAGCCTAGAACCCCCCGCCGGCCCAACGGACCGAGAAGGAGCCGCCCGCTTGCCTGGCGGAGAAGCGGAGACCAGGCCGCGGGAGCAGCGGGAGCGTGAGGCAGCGGGAACCGCGCCGGGAGCGAGGAAGGAGCAGGAGCGGCTGGGTGGGCTGCGCCCCTTGGGCCCGCGGGCCCGGTCCCCTGCAGTGCTGAGGGCCCTCTTCCCGCAGGCGGGCGCAGGAGAGCGGGCGGCGAGGAAGCAGAGCCGGAGGGAGGCTGGGCACGGCGGAGGGATGAGGAGGGCGGCGGCTGCAGGAGGAGCGGAGAGGCCCCAGAGAGAGCCGCGGCGCGAGGCGGGTAGTAAGACGGAGCGGCTTGCAGAGAACAGGTCGGGGTGACAGGGTGGGGGTGAGGGGCTGCAGGGGACGGGGAGGAAGGCAGGGATGGGGGGTGAAGGCAGGGATGGAGGGTGAAGGCAAGAATGGAGGGGGAAGGCAGGGATGCTCTTGTCTGGTTCCTTCTCCAGTGGGATGCAGGGGTGAGGACCAGCCCAGCCCCTCAACGCCCAGGGTGGCAGCCTGTCCCCACTGTCCCTGCCCAGTCCCCACTGTCCTTGCCCTTTCCCGGCCCTCCCTGCCCTGTCTCACCCGGCCCTGCCCTGCCCTGGCACAGAGGGAA